CTTTATCAGTAAGGGTACAATGAGCAAGGCAAAGAATGTTATGCTTAACTTTTACAGGGGAATAGTTCAACCCCAGCTGGAGTACAGGAATTCAGGATGTCCTGGAGACAGATGCGAAGTATTGGAGAGAGTGCACAAAAGATTCTCAGGAAAGATTCCAGCAATGAGAAATTTCAGCAGCAAAGTTAAGTAGAGAAATTTGGGACTTTTCCTTGGTGAAGGCTGAGAGTTCTGACAGTAGTATTCAAAATCATGAAAGATCAGAATACAATAGATAGGGAGGAATTGTTATCACTCATTAAGGGAGCAAGAACAAAAAGGCACAGAATTAAGGTAATCCACGGGGGAAAAAAAACATCAGGAAAAGCTCGCTCTCACAGCAGATCATTAAGGCCTGTATAATACTAATGGGAAGTACAGTGGAGGCAGATGGATATCTGAAAAGGAAATTGTTGAGGGTTAAGAGGAGAATGCACGAGAATGGCACTAGGTACAATGCTATTCAGAGAGCCAGCAACACATGATGGACTGAGTGGCTTTCTTCTGTGCTATAACAGTTCTGTGATTCTATGAGAATTAATAAGCAAGTTATTCGTAGATTAGTATCATTTCATTCACTATCGAAAATGCTGCTTTGGAGAAAGCTGATTGGACAAAATTGTCCACGTTAGATGTTTTCTGTTTTTATTAGAGAGAACATTGTTCCTGAACAGAGGTAATTTAAGTTCTTGTCCAATTGAATTCCATTAAACTGTATTTGTATCCCCAACCCCCTTCTCATGCACTTGACACTTTATATTTTTGGTTGTTGTTTCCAATTTCCAATTATTGTACAGTTATAAGCTAGGACAGCACAGTATAACAGTGATTAACAGTGGGACCTGGGTTTGATTCCAGCCTTGGGCAACTGTCTATATGGAGTCTGGACATTGTCCCCATGTTTGTATGTGTCCCTAAGGTGTGCTTCAGTTTCCTCTCACAATCCAAAGATGTGTAGGTTGGGTGGATTGGCCATGCTAAATTACCCCTAATGTCTAGGTATATGCAGGTTAAGTGAGTAAATGGTAAATGCGGGGTTATGGGTCTGGTTGGGATGGTGGGTGGACAGTCAATGGGCTAAAATGGCTTTTCTCTCCCTCTGGGGATTCTGTCATTCTATAAACAATCAAAGAGGCACAAATGAAGGCCATAAAATTCACAGAAAGTGATTTTCCTAAATTAGTTGTGTTAAGGTAGGTTACCTTGCATTTTTAAAATTTATGTAGGCTGATGTAGAAAGATGTTTTTGCAGACTCCTGCAAGCATTAAGCTTTACAAATTCAAATAGGTCATTGTATCTGCAAAAGTAATTAAAAGTTTGAAATTTTATCTCTGAGGCCAAGACAGCCACAGATTATTGGAGCTCAAACTGACAAGGGAAATTTTCCCTAATATTTTGTCTTTACCAATAAGCATCAAATTGGTCCTTGAGGGAAAGGCACCAACTCTAGAACAAAATTATTCAATCTACATTACTTTCCCGGCCTACTTTCCTCCATCCCATATCCATCTTCTCCTTTCCCCTCTATCATCCTTCATCAATTCTTTTTATTTTTTGACAGCCTCTACATCCTCACATCTCTCCTGCTACTTCATCTTTAATTTCCTTTCATAGCTGGCAATCATTTTCCCCAACTTCTTTTCCTGCTTTTTCATCTGACATTTCCATGCCTTCACATTTGACCCTGGTTGCTCCCAGCTCTTATAACCTCACCTATTTCTGGAGGAGGCCATAGTATAACAGTAATGTCATTGGACTAGTAATCCAGAGCCCCAGCCTAATATTGGGAAATACAAATAGAAAGTGCTGCAGTAATCAGCAGACCAACACAGGTTCAAATCCCACCATGGCAGATGGTGAAAATTGATTTCGGTAAAAATCTAGAATAAAAAGTTTGCTTAATGGCAATCGTAAAAGCACAATTGATCATCTGAAAAACCCACCTGATTCACTAATACTCTAAGGTCAGAAATCTTACATCCTTACCTGGCCTGGCCCACACGAAACTCTAAAACCCCCCAGGTATGTGGTTGACTTATTTTTCTTGGTCATTTAGGGATGGATAATAAATGCTGACCTTACCAGTTAAGTCTACATTCCATGAATGAATAAAATTAATACATAAGAACGAGTGTAGGTCATTTAACCCATCAAGTCTGCCCAACATTTATTATGGTATATCACTTCCATTAAAGAACTCACCTTTATTCAAGTAAATACCTCAACTGTCCTGTTTGAAAGAAAGGTATAAAAAGTTGGTGTAAATATTGGTTATTCAGGAAAACTTGCTCCTGTTCAACACGTTTTAACATATTATGTCTGAGGAATGGAGTTCAGTGGACTCAAGGAAATGTTTCTGAAGAAATGAGACTTCTTCAGTATCTTCTATGTGGATTTGATTGACACATCCCTCTTAACTTTTGGTAAAATTGAAGGAAAACTATTGTTTTAATCTTGTTTGGAAGAGCATCATTATAATACAAATTCATTTAAAAAAATCAAAATGATCATCATTGCACCACCAACATAGTTTCAAAAGAAAAGATTTTGAGTGGAATTAATCACTATTCACAAAAACGATTATGTAATGCTGTTTTGAGTAGACCCGAATATTATGGAGTAGCCTGATTTGTGATTAACTTGAAAGACATGGTTAAACAATGAGATTGAAAATTTTAATTATATATTTTAATGCTGAAAATTTATTAGTCATATCCCATTTAGTACAGTATATGCAATTTTTGAATTGAGATTATAACAGAGATGCAAAGAGTAAAATATGTCACAGGGAGAAAAAAACAGAATTCAAGTACTCATAATGATAATTGTTACGGATGAATTACTTTGATTGCAGAATTGGGCTCTGAATACAATTGGGCCATGTGGCATGAAAGAACTGCTGTTGAAGGTTTGGCAGAAAAGGAAGACACTCATTGGAAGTGGGTCCAGAAGAAATATGCTCAAGTCAAATGGAAGGAACAATTTATAATCAGTTTGATGGTCTCTGTGAGCAGATTGATTCACAGGGGAGAAGCAATTGTCCCAAGAAACCTGTACCTCCCGTGGCATTGATGGCACAGACACAGCGAGAAGGCTAATCCTCCAGACTTCTGTGTTAGTGACATTGGCCCAGATCTTCTAAGCAGTGGCAATGATCACCAGCTTGCCATTATCCCTGACCAGGCAATACTTTTGAATTTGTTTTGGGACATTGCAAGTCTGGCTTTCCCAAAACTGTTCAGCCCCACATCTAATGGGACAATTTGTCAAAGCTAAGCAGATTTAAGAAAAAATAGGGCACTCCCCTTTATTAGAAAGTAGCTGTTCCAGTGTCATATGATGTACTTAAATGCCTAGTCTTTCACAGTTAGTGATGGATGAGTGAATGCTTAGGTAGTAGAATGGGAGGATGGTTAGATGGGTGAAGCGGTTAAGTACATGAGGAGGGTAGGTAGTAGGTGCAGTATGAAACTGGGTAAGTAGATACGTTCGTATTGTGGGTACGTGGGGTAAGTGGGTAGGTGAGACTGGAATAGTCAGGGAAGGCCAGAGGTCATAGTCAGGTCTGGTCAGGGAGTAGTTAGGTAGAGAAAACAAAAATGCTGGAAATCACAGCGGGTCAGGCAGCATCCATGGAGAGAGAGCAAGCTAGCATTTTGAGTCTGGATGACTGTTCATCAGAGCTGATGTGAAGTGTGGAGGGGACAGCATTTCTGCAGTGGTGAGCAAAATAGAGTGCTAAGGGAACGAGGCTGCAGAGAGTGCAGAATCGTGATTGGAATGTGAGAATGGCAGAACAATGGTGTGTCAAAGTGCTTAACAGGAAAGAACAGATAGTCCCACTGGAGTGGGGGGGGAGGTGAAAGAAGACATGGTGACAGAGAATGCAACAAGTAAAGTAAAAGAAAGTGAAGGGGTTGGAGGACATATCAGCTCTTTTTAGTGAGGTTGTCAAATAGTTGGGAGTTGGGTTCGGAGGCAAGCAAATTGGATCAGGTGGCTAGTCAGATAATTAGGGGTAGTCAGTAGTTCGGGAAATTGGTCAGATGGTCAGTGAGGGTGACAGGGCGTGTGGCATACTTACCAGTTTTGCATTTATCCAGATGGCAGAGCTGACCAAAATCACTAACTCTAGCTCTCAGCTGCAGACATTATGAATATAGGAACAGGAGTAGGATTTTCAGCCTACTGAACCTGCCCCACCATACAATATGATGATTGCTAAATTGAAGACTTCAATGTCTTTTGATTATCTCATCCCAATAACCCTCTATACCAATGGCAATATAAATCTATCAACCTTTACCTTGAACATACTCAGAAAATGAGCTGCCAAGTTTCACTTCCCTCTGAGTACAACAAAATTCTCCTTATGCTGGATCTAAGTGGCATCTCTTTGGTTTTAAGAGTTCCCAACCAGGGAAAACATTTTACCTGCATCTACCCAGTTTATCCTTTTAAGTGTTTTGTAAGTTTCAATCAGATCATCTCTCATCTTTCGAAACACCAAATAATACTGATGGTCTCTTCAGAGGATAATCCTACTGTTCCAAGAACAAGTCTGGTGAATATTCAATGCACTCCATCTATGGCAATAATATCTTTACTGAGATGAGGAGACCAAACCTGCATACGGTACTCCAAGTATGGTCTAGATCATAGAATCCGTACAGTGTGGAAACAGGCACTTTGTCCCAACAAGAACATCACATCCAGACCCAGGCTCATAATCTACATATCCCTGAACACTATGGGCAATTTAGCACAGCCAATCCACCTAGCCTGCACATCTTTGGACTGTGGGAGGAAACTGGAACACCCGGAGGAAACAATGCAGACATAGGGAGAATGTGCAAACTCCACACAGGCAGTCGCCCAAGGGTGGAATTGAACCCAGGCTCCTGGCGCTCTGCGGCAGCAGTGCTAACCACTGAGTCACCATGCTGCCCAGAAACAAAGAAGTCCAGCATGGGGATTGAACCCACGACCCTGAGATTAGGAGTCTCATATTCTACCGCCTGAGCTAGCCGGGCCGAAGACGATTCTATAGAATTGTAGCAAGATTTCTCTACTTTTGTACTGAAATCCTCCTGCAACAAAAGCTGACATTACATTAGCCTTCCTAATATCTTGCTATACCTGCATGTTAACCTTCAGTGAATTACCAACAAGCACATCCAGGTCTCTTTGTACATTTACACTTCCCAACTTCTCACAGCTCTGCACACCTGTTTCTCATATCAAAGTGGATAATCTCACAATTTTTACACATTATATTCCATCTGCCATGTTGTTGACAACCCAGGACACCAACAACATCAATTAGGGCACCACCATGAAACTAGTAGATTTGTGCCTCACAACCCACTTCACCTTCAACAACAACATATCCTCAATGTCAGGACTGATTGCAGAAGCAGTGATGCAAAGGTTAGAACGGACAGCGCCCCCAACTATACAACCCAAACTTTGGGTCCAATATGTGGATGACACCTTTGTGATTATTAAAGGCACTAAACTGGAAGAAACCCACCGACACATAAACAACATCCTTACCGGGATAAAATTCACAAAAGAAGAGAACAACAACTGACTACCCTTCCTGGACATAACGGTAGAACACAAAAACAACAGGGAACTCCAGACTAGTATATCTGGAAAGACCACACATGCGGGCCAAATACTCAGTTACTAGCAACCACCCCAACGCCCAGAAACAGAGCTACATCAGGACACCATTTAAACAAGCCACAACACGTTACAGCAACCCGGAATAACACAAAGCAGAACAGGAACACTTATACGGAGTCTTCAAAAAGAAACAGATACCCGAAAATCACAATCCGCCGTTATCTCCGATTCAGACCACAACAGGAAGATACAACATAACCAGAATTACTTATCACCCTACCATACATCAAGGACATTTCAGAGATGACTACAAGACTACTCAGACCCCTAGGTATCAGAGTAGCCCATAAGTTGACCACCACCCTATGACAGCTACTAACAAACGTAAAGGATTGCATACCCAAAACCGGCAAACTGGGATAATGAACAAAACACCATGCAAGGGCTCTGAGAAACATTACATAGGCCAAGCCGGAAGAAAATTGACTATACGGATACATGAACACCAACTAGCCACCAAGAGACATGACCAATTCTCACTTGTCTCACTACACACGGACAACGAGGGACACAAATTTTACTGGGACAACACATCAATAATCGCAAAAGCCAAACAGAGACCCACCAGGGAATTCCTAGAGGCCTGGTATTCCATTCGGAATTCCATCAACAAACATTGAATTAGACCCTGTGTACAAACCATCGAGAAACAAAACCGGAAGTAATACCAACAACCCCAGCAAATTGAGCCACATAAATAACAAGCAGGACAGAACATAGACGCTTCACTGGAGGCGCACTGACAACGTTACCTAGCAGAGTGACAAAATGTTTGCAACCAAACCTACCAGCTCAGCAAGCATGTCTACAACCTCACTTTTTTTGTGTAGGTAGGTCTATAGCTACTTCAGAATCTATATCTATGATTATCTGAAGAAACTAAACTAAAATCTACTATTAGTATTGTAACTGATTGATTAAATTATTTAACAGAAATTCACTAATTAAATATTTTATCTATGTCTTATGCATAAACAACTGCAGCTCAGTATCCTGGAGCCTACAGAGCTGCAATTGTTCTACTTGTGAAGACTACATTAAGCAAATATTTTCCCAAGCGCTCTAACTACTGACAGCCATGTTCTGTTGCATTAGCCATGGGCAGCTGTTGGCCATTTTGTGCTGCCCCAAGATCTAGGCAATCTGGTTCCAAAGGTCAAGCCAGATACCGGAACAAAACACAGATGACCAACCAGACAGCACAACATAAACCAAAGCAGAAATTGCTGAAAAGGCTCAGCAGGTCCAGTAGCATCTGTGGAGAGAAATCAGTGTTAACATTTCAGGTCAAGTGATTCTTCCTTAGGACTCAGTGCAATGTAACACTGGCAGTAAGGAAGTCCAAAGAATGAGCAGAAGCACAAACATATTGGTACCTTTGGGCTAAAAGGTACCATTTGTCTTTGACAAATAGGATTAAGGAAAAGCCTAATTTTTTTTTTACATATTAAGGAGCAAGAGATAACTCGGGAAAGATAGGTACACTCAAGGATAAGGGAAGGAATTTTTGTGTGGAGTCAGAGGAGGTGGATGAGGTCCTTAATGAATACTTTGCATCAGTATTTATAAATGAGAAAGACATGATGGATGGTGTCTCAGGAGGGGTGTGTTCATATTCTAGGCCATGTCAATATAAAAATGGAGGTGGTGTTGGGAGTTTTGAAAAGCATTAAGGCAGATAAGTCCCTAGCACCTAATGAGATCTATCCCAGAATGCCGAGGGAGGCAAATGAGGGCCTTATACAAAATCTTTGTATCCTCTTTAGTAACAGGAGTAGGACAACAGGGATAATCTGGGAAATTACAGTCTGGTGAGCCTTACGTCAGGGGCAGGATTTACTGGCATGTGGAAAATATGGACATTAGCAATAAGCAGCATTGCTTTGTACAGGGAAGGTTGAATCTTTTAAACTTGATTGAGTTTTTTGAGAAAGTGACAAAGGTGATTGATGAGGACAGTGTAGTAGCCGCTGTCTACACGGGCTTTACAACGCCACAAGATCCCTCCTACAGGCTGATGCAAAAGGTGAAGTCACACAGGATCAGCAGTGAGCTGATACAAAACTGACTTAGACATAGAAGATACACTACAATTCACCTACTTCAGAAAAGGTCCATGGCAGATACCATTTCCCATTCCCTACACTCATCCCTGGAATATCTACATAACAAGGACAATTATGTCAGACTCCTATTTATTGACTTTAGCTCCACTTTATTCTAGCAAAACTCATTTCCAATCTCCGAGATCTAGTTTCTGCAGCTGGATCCTCAACTTCCTGACCCACAGACCTCAAATCAGCAAGGATAGGTGACAACATCCTACACAACAATCCTCAACACCGGTGCCCTACAAGGCTGTATACTCAGCCCCTTACTATACTCTTTATTAACTCACAACTGTATTGTCAAATTCATCTCAAACTCCATTTATAAATTTGTTGATGACACCACTGTAGTTGGTCAGATCTCAAACAATACCAAGGCAGAGTACAGGGAGGAGATAGGCAGTTTAGGTGCATGGTGTAGAGATAACAAACTCTCCTTCAATGTCAGCAAAATGAAGGAGCTGATCATCAACCTCAGGAAGCGCAGGACACACCCCTGTCTGTATCAATGTTGCAGATGTAGAGGTGGTCAAGAGCTTCAAGTTCCTAGGATCTATCCTGGTCCATCCACATCCACATCCACACTATAGTTAAGAAAATATACCAATGCCTCAACTGCCTCAGAAGGCTAAGGAAATTTGGCATGTCCACAGTGCCTGTAACCAATTTTTATTGATGTATAAGAGAACGCATCCCATCTAGATGTATCACAGTTTGGTATTGCCCAAGACTGTAAAAAATTACAGAAAGTTGTGAATGCAACCTAATCCATCACATAAACTAGCCTTCCTTCAATTGATTCCATATACACTTTCCACTGCCTTGGGAAAGCAGCCAACATAATCAAAGATCCATCCCACCCCGGGTATATGCTCTTCCAACTTCTTCTATCGGGCAGAAAATACAAAAGTTTGAAAACACATAACAACAACAGATTTAAGAATAGCTTCTTCCCTGCTGTTATCAGACTTATGAACAGACCTTTATTTCATTAGAGTTGATCTTTATCTGCACCTTTCCTGTAGTTGTAACACTATATTCTACATTCTGTTCTATTACTGGTGATGTACATATGTAAGGTATGATTTGTCTGGTTAGCACACAAACAATACTTTTCATGTATCTTGGCAGACGTGACAATAACGTATCAAAGCAAATCAAGTCAGCATATTATCACAACATATCCTGAAAAACATATATCTCAGCAGGAATTGTCTTATAGCATATAAGGGATCATTAATTCCATGGATTGGCATAATACGCCAGCTCATTTTGGCTTCCCAAAATTTTGTACCTGGTAGATGCCAATAGTCGAGTAGTGTCTGACTACCAGTATGGACAGATCTTGGTATAGTCACAATTCATGACGCTCCAATCACACCAGTGACTCACACATGGCACAATTGAATCAGCTGAAGCTGAAGACATTCTTAAAGTTGATCTATCACATTATGTCCAGAACCAATGTGCACATCACAATTTGCCAACAATGAGCAAATACATGAGTTGCAAAAAACGATTATGCAGTGATTGCCTGGGAGTATTAAAGAACCTTCAGAGAACATTAATTCCTTTTATCCGTACAGACCTGAATTTGGTATATCTTATGGCAATCATTTTAAAAGAAAACAGGTCCCAGTACTAAAATCATTATGCCAGAATACCATGTCCATGTTACACCAGAACATATGGTTATTGAATACACAAAAGCTAGCACGTGAATCTGTGTGCTGGTTAGATATGATTCATGATATTCAATGACTCATAAATACATGTAATGTGTGATAATAATACCAACTCCAGCAGCAGTGAGAGATTATACACCCACATGATGTTTTGTCCACTCCTTGATTAAAATAACAGAATTATTCACAAAGCACAGGGATGATTACATTCTTGTAACATTATTTCTCCAAATTTCCCGTTGCTCAGCATCTTAGCAACACAATCAGTGCAACAATCGTTGAGACGATGTCTGCAATTTTCAGTTTATTTGGTGTCTTGAAATGGATAGTGTATGACAATGGGCCACAGTTCACCAAACCATTTCAAGGCATTTGTGCTAAATAAGGAATAGATTATAGAACATAGAACTGTACAGCACAGGAACAGACCCTTCGGCCCACGATGTTGTGCCAAACATAATGCCAAATTAAACCAATCCCTTCTGTCTTCCCTTGGTCCACATCTTTCTATTCCTTGCATGTTCATGTGCATATCTAAAAGTCTCTCAA